CTACAACTGTTTCACAGAATACTTACTTAAGCTTGAGTGCTTTTGAGGGGAGCGTAAACCAATAAATACAAGTATTTACTACTTTTTATTTTTTGGTCACATACAAGATGCCTGAAATGAATGGTGTCTACATAATCACCCAATGTAGGCTGTCGACATGATTGAAAACATTTGGTGCAATGTTTTATGAGACATCACGTTTAAATAAGTTTAAAAAGTGGTCAGTGTCGTGGTGACCTTGAAGATAAGGTCAGGGTCACCCTAATCGACTGGCGTCTGGTCAATCCCCCAATGTAGGCTGTCACAAAATTGGAAGACATTGGATACAAAAGTCCATGAGATGTCGCGTTAACAAAAGTTTGAAAAGGGATCAAAGTGTCGTGGTGACCTTGAAGATAAGGTCAAGGTCACCCAAATCAACTGGTGTCTGGGTAATCCCCCAATGTAGGCTGTCACCAAATTTGAAGACATTGGATACAACAGTTCATGAGACATCGCGTTAACAAGAATTGGGACGTACGGACAGACGCCCCTGAAAACATAGTCCCCCGTTCCGCGTTGCGGCGGGGGACAATAATGACGTTTCATATAAGATAATGCAACCTTCCAAATCATTCACAGGAGCAATATTGACTTCTTCGTACCTCCTTATCTAACACCCTACCATACTATATTCAGGCAACCTACCCCGATTATATCCCTGTCATTCTACCCACAGTTAAAACAGACCATTCAACCTTCATACAGTTTTCTATGAGATCTGACTACCTACCAGATTTGATGAGTCCACCTCTGTACTAATACATCGGCGATCTGCAATGGCTTGAGATGGATTGGTGCGTGTCGAGTCATGGAGCCGACACTCTCTGGATTTCTTCACCCAGGTGACATAATTACATCGTTTGGAGAACCAGCAGAAATTCACACATCCGATTAAGGAGTGTGTATTCATTACGGTATAGAAGCCTCCGTCGCATCGATATGACGGGTTTACGAAATGTCCTTGTAACGAGAACACCATAGGAAGTAACGCCATCACTGAAGTCATGTGTACAAACTTCATCTTCTCAAGCCAAAACTGATGCCCGCTTGAGGTGATGTCTTCGTAGCAGTATTTTGCATCGATATTCCGTTTTGAACGATATCACTGCATTCTCAATCCAGAGTACTGTGTGGACAGACATTGATTTCTTACACGTGAATAATTAATACCTTATCAACATCTATAGTGGCTTTCAAATGGGGACATAAACAATCAGCTTTAACACACTGAAAACAACTGGAAGTATTTAACGCATTTGCTTTCATAAGCTTTTATATGGATTCAAAACAAATAGATGAGAATAGGGCCGAAGTCCACGGTCTTAGAAGGGGACAACAACAAAACCAGCCAGTTCTGCCATCACTGGAACATGCATATTTTCCTGTCCTAATGCTTGTTTCTAACAAGGGGAGACAACCCAGACTGTTAAATTGCCGACGTTGCTGCAAGCTGTTTTTTTATATGGTTGTGAGGGACAAACCACTGGCGCCAAACACAACATGCTGAGCACAGGTCGATAGAACATTTGTCAGGTAATTAAGTCTTTTGTTATACCCATTGTTCCAAATGTAGGTTTTGTTTTCAATGAGTGTTTTCAATTACATTTGTCATTAATAACATTATTAACATCCAGGATTCATTTCAATATCAAATGTTCTCGTCACGATATGGCTGAAATATTGCCGATGTGACGTTAAATATTAACTCACTCACTCACTAACATCCAGGATGCCGAGTTTGTGAATTTGCTGTCGCACAATTTTCATAAGGTTTGAAAAATGAACGTTGTTCGAGAACTGCGTTCGCGTGGTACTGGATCTACATACATCTATAACATTACACAGAAATATTAAAAAAATATTAAATATATTAAATTTCCTATCTGATGGTATACATTCAAGTGCAAAAACGTCGGCGTTTTGAAAAATAGGCACTGCTCCGGATTTTTGTTGTGCGTTAAAAACAGTAAATCTCTCCGCTGTTTATCGTGCACCAATAGAAACACTGTGCGACGACTCCTTTTATTTGGCATCTTTACAGAAAGTGTGAGCGAACAAGATACTGCCTGATATCTGAACCACATAAGTGAGTGAGTGAGTGAGTTAAAGGGGAAGTGTACACGAATAAATCACATTTATTCTTCTGTGAATCAAAGTGAACTGTTTTAATGAGTTAATACCAATGTTTAAAAATATACACTCATTTTTCTTACAGTGTAAGTATAACCCTCAAAATAAGTGCTGAAATGTTATGAAATGTTAAGCTTTGTTTGCCGAGCTAAACAGGCCAGAGTTACCGCCCTTTGATTATGACGTAATTGGTGCCACTTGATTTTAAACTGGTCTGTTGTCTAGTCCCAAATCAAAAGATAATAATACTGAAATAAATCACGTGAAAAAAGTTTGTGAAAATTCGAAAGACTGACTGACTGACTGAGTTTAGTTTTACGCCGCTTTTAGCAATATTCCAGCAATATCACGGCGGGGGACACCAGAAATGGGCTTAACACATTGTGCCCATGTGGGGAATCGAACCCGGCTCTTTGGCGTGACGAGCCAACGCTTTAACCACTAGGCTACCCCACCGCCCCAAATTCGAAAGAAGCATAAGAACAGAAAATGTAAGCAGCAGGACAGATTGATCGTGTGTGTTTTCATTCATAACCTCACCTCAATGAAAATACCAAATATGTATAACAATGTTGACGTCCGTATGACATCACTATCGGGAAGCGACTTTTTCAACATGGCCTGTTCACTGACACGAGTACGCCGGAGTTGTCGAAGATTTTTTTGTTGTTGTTTCAAGCAACGTATATATGCATAAATGTGACATGTAAGTCGTCCGAAAATTATGTAAGTCTGCTGGTTGTTATTTTCTTCTCGTTTTCATTGTGACCAAGGGAAATAGTCAGAAATTAAGAGAGGTACCGTCATCGTTGTGCGTGAGTTTGCGTCAGTCATGGCGTCATGCTTTCAGAAACTATAATATGTTGTGATGAATCTAGAAAATCATGGGAATACACCTATTTTATTTAACTATCGCTTGCTGCAATACCTTTCCCATGCATGTTCTTAAACTAATGAGCAAGTGTATGCAACAAGTAGGCGAGCGGATACACAGTGTAAAATCTGAGATTGGCTTTGTTTACATTTCAAACAAGTGGTCCTTTCCCAGTGCGGCATTTGACATATTTCGTTCGATTTCACTGAAACACTTCGAACTGGTGACAAAGTCCATTTGTCAGTTTATTTTGAACTGTATGAGAAATTCAGGGATTCGTGTCAGGAAGATGGTGTTGAACTATATACAATTGATTTTATGGGCGAAATATAGCCGACATACATGTGACGTGATTTCATAAACACTCTGTAAAATGGCTGAAAATTCACTTTGACGTTAATTGTGTTTGCAAGCTAATTTTCAAAACATTCTCGGTTCATCGACAATGTTTCAGAACGAGCATTAGTGATTTGATCAAACAACAACAAAACTACCGCTGATCACCATGATAGGTCTTTTTCTTTTAAATTTAATTCTCCCAGTAAAATTTGACATTTGAATTAAGACACGCAAAACGCAGTGAATGGTGATGTAGTAATGTGTCAAAACTGACGAAATTTACGATGCATGTCATTTCCACTATATTTTATCTACAATGAGCGGATGATATAGAAAAACGGATTTCAAACAGAGTTCAAAAGTGCAAATTGCATTTATTTTCGTGATGTACATGGATATGGTATCGATATCGATATCAAAGTGAAGGTTGAAGAGGAGGGACATATTGTAATTTTAGTAACAAACGTAGAATACCGGCACATTCGCCGATGGCAAGCTAGTTGTAGTGCACATTTTAGTTTTTGTGAAAAAAGATACCGTTGAAAAGGCGACCGACACAGGTTGAATGTTACGTGGTAACACATTTAGTACAATGTATACGTTTTTTCAACGCCATTACAGTGCAGAACTGATGACATAGCCAGCTGACGGCCAGGCAACATGTGGATTTAAACAGTAGTCTGCGCACCGAAACACAAGAATCGCACCTATAGCTGCACCACGTGAAATGGGTCTAATAAGGTCTAACGACGTCATTCGTTTATCATTTGGGCACCAATGACGTCATTTCCAAGGGACATAAGCCATGGTGTGTTAATTGTGGACACAAAATCGAACTCTCGGTAAATGTTGAAAATATGAATTGATATAACGCAAAAAATAAATTAGTTACTTCTGATATATGTACAGGTTTGGATATAAAAATACTTGACAAACATTTTTCATGATGAAAACTTGCAAGACAAAAAGGTTTATTTTCGTGTACACTTTTTTATTTAACGTCACATCGACAATATTTCAGCCATATCGTGACGAGAGAACCACATAAGTATATATGAAATGGGTTTGTGTGCTTATGTATAAAGTTATATGCCCCGAATTAAAAATGACTCGCAATAAATGTCGAAAATGGATTTTCCTCTATGACGTCAAGCGACGACAGAGAGGTCGTGCACGTAAAAAGACAAGGGGGCATAACTCCGCTATGGTAAATACTATGTCATGGTAACTCAGATCACTTAGACAGGATTTGCTGTGGATACGGACGCTATATTTTTCGTGTCTTGTTCACGGTGAACCCAACTATTCCAATACAAAGATCCCCAATGTAACCCAATACATTTTGCTACTATCACAATTTATAAGAAAAAATGACATCGTATTACATGAGAAAGCACCTAATAGCAACTTGGGTGGCACTATCCAAAATGTAAATTAGTTCTTAGATTCCCATATGTTCCTGTTCGTGTACATGTATTTTGACTAAGTTTGCACCATTCTTAACAGAGTTCTAGTCATAACTTCAAATACAATGAAATTACTGAAAATATACAACATTTTAGTTGACGACATGGCTTGTGTTATGTATTTGTGACGTCGGCAGTAGACGACATTGGTATGACATTAGTTGATTAATATATATCTCACCTAATTTCTATGAATTGTATAAAAGGTTTCGGTTTCTATGTCAGAATTGAACGCTCTTTCGACAGAACTTACAATGACTGATTTTACCATTTAAATAATGTCCGGAATAGATCGATAACTAGACGTTTTGACGGTGTATCTTAATATGAACAACATGCGCACATGTTTCGCATCAATTTAACGTAAATGTAAAAACATATTTCACAACACCCGAATATATGTTTTAAATAACGCTTTTCTTTGCTTATGATTATGTGGCTATTTCTCTTCATAAGTATACAATGAAAGATGCAAAAACGTGGCGCTTTTTGTATGGAATATCATAATAATGACGTAAGGTTTCTCCAATGTAAGACATGGCATGGTCTACATTTTGTTTACAATTTTTGTAGAAATATAGTTATTTTGATAAATTGTCATTACCATATTATTTTTCGAATATGAAGTGATTATATTATCGAAACAATGACAGTGAATCGTAAAATATTTGTGACAAACGCGCACCTGGCCAGTCATTATACATCAAAAAAAAAAAGGACATAAACACATTAAATGAACAAGACATAAAATACTGTGCAGATACATACCATAAAATACCTTAATCATTTCCATTAATATTGTCAGTTTTAAGTATAAGGTTTAAGTATAAGGTTAAATTAAATCGCTGTTCATTAACCTGTTCCAGAGACCCAGATAAGCTGCGTATCGGGGAAAAAATACGCATTGAAAATTCCCATTTACGCACTGAAAAAAATGGTTGCGTACCAATTACGCATTTAAAATGTTAGATACGCAAAAAGTTTAAAACAAATGCGTACGGGATATATTTATAAAAATCGCTTGCGTAATGAAAATGACATCGATTGCTATCAAGTTGTACTGTTAGTATAGGGCAAGTGTTGTACTGTCAGTATAGGATGAGTGATTTCCATTATATTTAAGTTGGTTTTGATTAGGTATGACATAAGGCAGAACATAACTGCTTAGTAAACTTACTCAATGACGTAACACTTAGGTGAGTAAAGTGACTGAAATACGCACATATTTGAAAGCAGTGGGTAACAGAAATTGAAATACCCACTCAACATTCATAATACCCACTCCAAAATAATACAGTGGGTACAGTACCCACATGAGCTAAATCTTATCTGGAGCTCTGCCGTTCATATGAAACTATAATACTTGTCGCAATATCGAATTTTGCACAGCATACGAACTGAAGAACATTTTGTCGGCGCTTCATATGGATTACTGTGATTTTATGAGTTATTGTACAGATATTGAACGTTTTACATGTGACAAAATTGTTAATAATTATGAAACAAAATTGTTAGATCACTGTTCAACACTTAATCTTACCATGTTTAATGGGCGATGTGGCAGTGATACACATGTTGGTGATTTCACTTTCGTCTCATCCTGCGGAGCAAGTCTTATAGACTATGTTATAGGAACTAGAGACTTGTTTACATTATGCAGTACATTCGACGCTGGATCTAGGTCAGAGTCTCCTCATTTGCCAGTCACATGTGGATTTCAGCAGTGTATGTATATAAAGCTATGCGTCTTAGATAGTCATTTGTACATATTGTAACATAACCGAACCGTATGTTATTGTTTATATTGTATATTGTATATATTGTATATTGTATATATTGTATATTATATATATTGTATATTGTATATATTGTATATTGTATACTGTATATATTGTATATTGTATACTGTATATTGTATATTGTATATATTGTATATTGTATATTGTATACTGTATATTGTATATATTGTATATTGTATATTGTATATATTGTATATTGTATATATTGTATATTGTATACTGTATATTGTATACTGTATATTGTATATATTGTATATTGTATATTGTATACTGTATATTGTATACTGTATATTGTATATTGTATATTGTATATATTGTATATTGTATATATTGTATATTGTATATTGTATATTGTATACTGTATACTGTATATTGTATATATTGTATATTGTATATACTCTCTCATAGTCAATTGTAAATGTAGAATGGGCCTGTGGCCTCCACTACAAGAAATAAAGATTGATTGATTGATTGATTGATTGATTGATTGAAGTCAGCGAGCCTGACCACCCGATCCCGTTAGTCGCCTCTTACGACAAGCATAGGTTACTGAAGGTCAATATTCTAACCCGGACCTTCACAGGTATGTGATGTAAGTAATCAGAATGATTCTGACTATCTGTGTATTGTTATATGTTTTTATCGTTTTCATTGTAAGAAAGAGAAGATACCAGAAATGCCGATAATTACCGTTGTCGTTCTGCGTGATTTTGCGTCAGTCATGGCGTCACGCTGCACAGAAGCTTCGACAATTTCGTATAAGCATATCGCATTACTGCATAGTATCTATTTTTAATTTGCTATTTCTTGCTATAGTCCGTTTGGCTCAAAAGCGGACCGATGAATTGCAATCTAACTCGAAAACTTATAAACATAAAATACTCAATGAAACACTGACCATAATGAAAACGTCAGACCAACTCTGAGAGGTGTTTGCAGAATGTTTGTCCTAAAATAAAAAAGTTGTTTAACAAACTATTATTAAAATATCGACACAGTTCACTATTTGTTACGAGGGAGGAGAAATATGGAGGGCAAGGATAGGGCTCTTTCGTCACCCACAAGGTGTGAGGCAAGTCGGCCATGTTGGCTTGTACACCCCATACTCGAAGTGGACCTACAGCATGGACGTCGGCTATCGTCTCTTGACCACAGGACTTGTATTGTATTCAATTGTTCTGTTGCCTGCAACTATTCAGTGTTTCCACAATCTTCTTCTGTCTGGCGACATAGAGCTGAACCATGGTCCATTAAATAAATCTAGTGATAGAGAAGAGTTTTATATTAAGAGAGCTTAGATCAGTTAAAAACGACTTGTCTCGTGACATTAGAGACGTTAAGTCTGATACACGGAAATTGACTGAAGCTGTTGAAGAACTTAAGTCAGATATCGATGACAACAGGAATCAACAACACATACTTCGTCTGGATCTGGGTGCAGGTACAGACAGGCTTGACAACGGAGACTTTGGAGAAGGGCGGTCTGGGTTAGAGGGATTAACCAGAGATGTTGAAGATCTCCAAAACAGTATTGAGCAATTGGAACAGTTCAGCCGCAAGAACAATGTTCTTCTATATGGAGTCAGTGAGTACACTAGTGATCGCGAGAGTGAACTTGACTGTAAAACACATGTACGAGGTATTCTGAATCAACATTCAGAAGAACGGTTCTCGATGGATGAAATACTAGAAGCACACAGGCTGAGTTCTCCTAAGCATACCGGAAGAAGGCCCCGACCGATTATAGTGCCATTCCACACCACCAGCAGTAAATCAGATCTCTCCAGTGTCGTGATTTACTGAAGTCAAATGGGTATGGCATCTCCGGCGATCTAACCAGGAAGCAAAGAAAGGTATTATCAGACCTGAAAAAGAATAATAGAAGAGGACATTTTAAGAATGGACGGCTTGTTGTTGACCGTGATACACGTGTGGGCTGGGGACAGGAACCGCCCTCTGAAACAGCGTCAGATGTCCAAGGAACGGACAGTGGAAACAAGGGGCGTGGCCGAGCCCGAATAAACAGCCAATCTGAACAATGCACAGTAAGCTTTTTATTTTGCAACATTGCCTTTTTACTAAATAAATATAATGACTTTAACTTTTTACAATTCATCCAGCATTTTGATGTTGTGACCCATGTCAGAAACATAGGTTAGTGACTTTGATTTTGCCCATTGTTTCCAGGACTATAATAACATTACTATAGTGATTGAGTGAGTGAATATTTAACGTCACATCGGCAATATTTCAGCTATATGGTGACGAGAACATTTTACATTAAAATGGACTATGTGTATATTTTAAAACCTGTCAACGAAGGACAGTAAAACAACTAGAATATCACAATTAGATTTAAAACTAGTGTGGAAGGTTAAAACTAATAGCACGATTTGGACAATACAAGATAAAAACAGGCTATAGATCGCCTACAACTGAAGGTAGATCACCATACTAGGGACTGCATTACTATAAATGCTGTAAGAATTTCCGTAAAAGGAAGACTCTCTGGTGGTCTTGTTGTTTTGATTAAGAAACGTTTATTCGAAATATTTGTGAAAAGAATGGCCATTTATGATAATGTTATTTTTACAGTGTTTGACAATAAGCTTTTTAAGTTGGATAAAGATGTTGTAATAGCATCTGTGTATGTGCATTCTTCTGGTTCAAATTGGTATGACCAAAAGCAATGTAAGTGTGGACTTACAATGATGTTTGAACAATTATTAAACTTTTTGCGTGAGTTTGGTGACATGTATATTGTGATTGGAGGTGATCTAAATGCTAGAACTGGTGAGGGCCCAGACAGTGTTGAAGATAGCATTGCTGATATGTTAGGATTTGATGATATTCATGTGTTATTTGACATGCTGGACACGGAGAGACACTCCTGTGATAAAGTCGTTAATCACTCCGGGAAAGTTCCATAGCTTGGAACGATTAACAAAGTCGAAAGCCTTAGCAAAATCCACAAACAAGGCATAGACTTTACCTCTCTTTTTCCCGAAGAGTCGACCAACAACAGACTACAAAATGAAGATATTATCCATAACCGAATAACCGTGCCGAAATCCGGCCTGTGATTCCGAAATGTTTTCATACACCTCGCACCAAACGGTCGCAGTGGATCAGATGCACGCTCGGGAGATTACACATTCATAAATCAACTGGGTAAAGTGTTATTGATTATGTGATATGTTCACCCATGCCGTTTTACAAAATTATATCAAGGGCAGACTCTGGTCATTTACCACTAACCTGTTCATTTCATGCCTGGGACGCTGGACGCCCGCACGTGCATGATCATGCTTCACATGCGGCATCGGATGACTACCGTTATGTGTGGGATGAGGAAAAGCTG